GAGATCTTTTATGGAAGTAAGCCTACATGTTGATGTTTATTTGCTTAAAGCGTTTGGATGTTTATAACGTTCATAATAATAAACAACTTTACTCAACATCGCCCTCTAAAGGCATCATTAACAAACATCAAATGAGCAAATGCCACTCAGCACCGCCCTCTAAAGGCGTCATTAACAACCATCAAATAAACAAACGTCGCTCAGCGCCGCCCTCTAAAGGCGCCATTAACAAACATCAAATGAACAAACAAACTCACTGCCGCCCTCTAAAGGCATCATTAACAACCATCAAATAAACAAACGTCACTCAGCGCCGCCCTCTAAAGGCGTCATTATCAACCATCAAATCAACAAACGTCACTCAGCGCCGCCCTCTAAAGGCGTCATTATCAACCATCAAATAAACAAACGTCACTCAGCGCCGCCCTCTAAAGGCGCCATTAACAAGCATCAAATAAACAAACGTCGCTCAGCGCCGCCCTCTAAAGGCGCCATTAACAACCATCAAATAAACAAACATCGCTCAGCGCCGCCCTCTAAAGGCTTCATTAACAACCATCAAATAAACAAACCTCGCTCAGCGCCGCCCTCTAAAGGTGTTATAGCACCAGTCAGATGTTAGACCTTTTATAGTCTTAACATTCACTACATAATGATAGATGACCTTCTGGCCAACACCCGAGAGAAAGCGAGAGTGTCAGAGCGAGAGAAAAGCACTGTGGATGATGGATGGACGTAGCAGTAGTGTGGACAGAGGGGATGAAGCAGAGGAGAGGAGAGATAGAGGGATGATAGAGGAGAGAGGAAGCTATTATACACAAACACTACTGTTCTGTAGCACTGAGATGCTGCAAGACTGTTAAATCAGGATGTGGAGGATGGTAAGGGGGGGAGGGAGAGAGACAGAAGGAGTGATAGAAGGAAGAAGACTGATGGAACAGAGAAAGAGAGGGACGAATGATAGAAAGAGGAAAGAGGAGGAGTGATGGAGAGGTAGGAAATGAGAGGGAGAGAGAGTATTGAAAAGATAGATGGTTGATTTTCCTTCATGTGGAAAAATGACTTGCAGTGTAAAATAAACAACAGCAACACAATCAAATACTTTAACCCTTAAAAAGTCGGTTTGCTGTATACAGTGAACTGCATGTACATCCTGCATCGTGAAGTTCAAGTCTGCACTTTCAGAAAAAAAAAACATGCTAAAAATGTAAGAGATGGTTTTTCTTTCATGACAAATCACCGTTTTCTGGACCACAGCGTCTGTGTGGTGTAGAAGCCCTAAAACCACCCCAGGGGTCCGGAGCTGTAGGCTAAAGCCGGTTTATCCGGCAGGAAGCCAGAGCACCCCACTCGTTCGCTTAATTTAGCCTAAGATGTTTCAGTAGCATCGAGAAGAAGGATGTTCTGCTTGTCTTCTTACATAATAAAGCAGCTCCTACACCACATGTGGGCTGAGGAGGCCAGGGAATTACGCAGTGTGTGTGTTTCTTGCCAGCTTTTTGCTGTCCTTGTAGCTGTTTATAGAACTGAACTGATTCTTCTTTTGTTCTGAAGCTTCAGGGACTGAGAACTTTCTTCAGAGAAAGATTCGTTGAGAGAAGAATTTGTTCAGAGAAGGATTCGTTCAGAGAATGATTTGCTCCCAGATGGATTCATTGAAAGCAGGAGTTGCTCAGAGAAGGATTTGTTCACAGAAGGAATCATTCAGAGAAGTATTTGTTGAGAGAATCATTTGCTCAGAGAAGTGTTCATTGAAAGAAGGAATTGTTTGGAGAAGGAATTGTTCAAAAAGGGATTCATTCAGAGAAGGATTTGTTCAGAGAAAGATTTGTTCACAGAAGGAATCATTCAGAGAAAGATTCATTGAGAGAAGGAGTTGTTCACATGATTTGTTTAGACAGAGATTCGTTACGAGAAAGATTCATTGAAAGATTTGTTGACAGAATGATTTGTTCACAGAGGGATTCGTTCAGAGAAGGATTTGTTGAGAGAAAGATTCGTTAAGAGGATGATTCTTTCAGAGGATTCACTCAGAGAGAGTTGCTTTAGAACATACTAATAAATTAAATAAATCATGAAATAGGGGTGCTAGACGTCTCCAACCCGACCTGATCCCCGGCTCAGGCCTATGGTTCACGCATAACATCAGGCTCAGGTTTGTTTTATAATGAGTGGTAATTTTGTGCAGTGGATTTGTTTATATTTATACTTATGTTATTAGGATACCTACATAAACGTCAAGCGCTCTTAGTGGTGGCTGGTAAACCGATTAAAATTCTTCCTCAGGTGTGAGTTTTGTCATAATCTTTATACAGGGACGCCAAAAGTAAGCGCCGAAAACGGAACATGCAAACAGTGCAAACCATGCTAACATTAGCCTGTTTAGCTGAGTGTCTGAGAGTCAGGGATGTTTCAGTCACGTTTCAAGTGAGAATGAAAATGCAGCAGACCCTCATCACCTCCCACTGTCTAGTCTGATTCATCTGGAGTGGTCCACCAGTTTTCTAAGGCAGTGGATTTAAAGGAATGGCCAGTCTTTTGGGGTTAGCATTAGCCTAGCATGGACACCAGAGCATTGAGGCTGGGCTGAGGAGCCACCTGACTACGCCATCAGACAACGCTGCAAGTCATAGAGCAGGCATTACTAAAGCAAGAATGAGTGTAATGTTTTCCAAATTGCACGTATGACGCACACATGAGGCAAATGACTTGAAATTCAACGAAGATGAAGTTGGCTTCTTATTTGAATTTCCTGTCCCTCCTTAAATGCTGCAGCAGCTCCATTCAGGCAGCTGTACAGGTGCCAGAATGTAACTGCTGCTCTATTTAAGGTGGAACTGAAATTTTAACAGAAGGAATGAATGCCGACTCCAGCCTTGAGGAAATTCACACGCGAAACTTTCAGAGCGGCTGGTGTTAGAAGGCATTATTGACAGGTTTATCTGTGTATTGTTCAGTTCTGTTTTTGTTGTTTTGCACAATAAAAATGTTTCATATTGAGTTTGGTTATTAAAATGCTCCTCATTGTAAATACCATTGCCATCCAAAGAAAAACAAGTATCTCCCAATTCGCAAGTGAAAACGTTCTCTGCTTCCAATGTAAGGAGATTTTATTCCAAGCAACTTTGTCCCATCATCAGGAAATTTTGTTACAATGTACAGGACTGTTGCCACTCTTAAATGATAGAAAACTAAAAATAATAAAAAAAAGGAGATACATATTTTTCTTTAGATGTATAGGTCTAAGGTACATTTGGTTGTCAGTATTTTCTCACCTTTCAATTTATTACACATAAAATTGAATTACTATTATGGTGCAATGCTAGAGCAGCAGATACAGCCTAAAGAATATGAGGCGGCTAGCATTAGCCACTGTTATCTTTACCCGTCAGACACTCACTGCACTAAAAAGTAAAATGATCAGTTCTTGGTCTCAGTATCATCTACACCAAGCTGTTCTTATTTTTCTCCGCCCTGAATGTCCATAACCCCAGCATGACGTTTAAAGTTTTACTAAAGGATGTGGATGAACAGAACTGATGGAGACCAAACTGAAGATGCAAAATATCAGACTTTTTAATTGTATTGCAAAATAAATCAGCTTTGTAAAACACATAATGACCATATAGTAATGAAGTCATAGTCACGGTGTGGGTCAGAGTTGTAATGTGGAAGTAATTCAGTGTAACAGTGAAAGTAATTAACCTCCTTAATTTACATCAGTTAAATCTCTGATGCTTATTATGAAAATCTGCGTCTTCTGATTTCTCTCTCTCTGTCTGTCACTCTGTCTCTGCTCATTCAGTCAGTTATGAGATATGATCAGTGGCAGGCTGGTCCAGCTCGTCCATCACTCTGTATCTGCGGTTCTCAGATGAGTTTTAATCCCGCAGCAGTACATTCAGCTGTACGTTTAGTTGGTGCTGCTGTCCAAAGTGATTTATATTAGCCGACTGCAGGGAGGGGTCCTGCTTCAGGACAGTGCAGCAGTGGTCCTGATAGTCTCACTCATGGGCATAGTAGTTTTTATCCTTCTCACTTTCAAAGTGATCTGAGCTTTAACTGACCAGCTGTTTAAGTCCAGATGATATCAGTAGAATTATAACATGGACTGACTGAACATCCATTTGAGTTACACCACTACACCACTGACAGGGACTACGCCCCTTACACAACACCTATATTCTTGGTTACACTGTGCTTGTACGGTTATGCTGCACCCATTTCCATAGCAACAACACACTCACTTCCATGGTTACACTACACCCATTTCCATGGCTACACTAAGCCATTTCCATGGTTACACTACACCCATTTCCATGGTTACACTAAGCCATTTCCATGGTTACACTAAGCCATTTCCATGGTTACACTACACCCATTTCCATGGTTACACTAAGCCATTGCCATGGTTACACTACACCCATTTCCATGGTTACACTACACCCATTTCCATGGTTACGCTACACCCATTTCCATGGGTACACTACCCCCATTTCCATGGTTACACTACACCCATTTCCATAGTTACACTACACCCATTTCCATGGTTATGCGACACCCATTTCCATGGTTATGCCACACCCATTTCCATGGTTACACTACACCAATGTCCATGATTCCACTACACCTGTTTGCATAGTTGCATTACACCCATTTCCATGGTTACACTGTGCCTGTTCTAATGTTAGCAGCTGTAAGCATTAGCATTGTACAGCTAAAGTTAGCTACCTAGCATTCCAGGTAAGAAGGTTTGTCAACAAAACATGAGACGAAAAGCAGAACGTCTATGTTAACTAGCTGTCTTAATTCTGTTAGCGAGCTAAAGGCTTGCAGGCTTTAAGTTAATCATCAGCAATTATCTGATTATCCAGATTTATATTTTAATCCCCACTTTTTACACCAAAACTGCAGCCTTGGATTCTCCAGAATCCCTCAGTGTATAACAGCTCCTGTTATCAAATGCTCATCCTTTGTTTCCCTGTTTTCTTCTCTGCTAGGTGAGAGTTACGTGTGCGCCTCAGAGAATTACTACAAGAAAGTGGACTACACCAAGAACGTCAACCCCAACTGGTCGGTGAACGTGAAGGCGTGTGCAGGTCAGCGGAACGCGATGTGCGTGGGCGGCCGTCCGGGCGCAGACGCGCGCGAGAACAGAGACTTCATCCGTCCGAAGCTGGTGACGGTGATGCGGAGCGGAGTGAAGCCGAGGAAGGCGGTGAGGGTCCTGCTGAATAAAAAAACCGCACACTCGTTCGAACAGGTACTGACCGACATCACCGAGGCCATCAAACTGGAGAGCGGAGTGGTCAAGAGGATTTACACACTGGACGGAAAACAGGTAGGAAAGAGATACACGCACACTTCCTGTTTGTTATAAAGCAGTTCAGTCCTGGGGTCTTTACAGTTCCACCTCATTTAAAGCGATAGTTCAGCCGTAAATCAGAGGTACCCAGCAGTCGATTCAGCATCGGACTCATCTCGAATATATAAATATATATTTAAAATAATATATATTTTTGTGTCCCTGGCATTTACAGATATATTACACTTGAAAAAGATGTTAAGGTTACAATTTATTCATATTTTAAAATAAAACAACATGTTATTTTAACAAATAGCCTCAATTTAGCAATATTGGTTTTTAAATCAATCATATAGAATTCCAAGCACCACAGAAGAGCTCGTCCTCACAGTCATGTGTAAAGGGTGAAGACACATTTTGAAATAAAAAACATGTTTTTCTGCAATTTTAACTGCAATAATCTATACATGACTATGAAATATACGATTTAAATGACATAAAGAAAACTAATGCCAAATAAATTATATAGAATATATATAATAAAATATATATAAAGTTGTGTTCCCCAGGAGTCGTGTCACTGGTGTTACTGCGTGACAAAAAATCTCTTATTTTGAAATAAAAGTCACGCTGATGACATCACTCGACTTCCTTTTACCTGTTTTCTGAGGATCTATGAAGAAAAGCTCATGGTGAGTCCACTGTGTCTTTCAGTTATCAGAGATTTCCTCATTTAGCTCATGATTTCATATGAAGCTTTTAGCTGAAGTCACTGGTGTGACCGACTTTATTCTGAGGTAACTGGGAAAAAATAGAACTCAAATGGATTAAATTCCATATTTTGGTGGATATTCCATGATTGACAACATGTGGTTTGATGCTCTGTAGCAGCCATTTTGTAAAATCATTAAAAATGTCTCTGGTGTTCCTTTAATATGTGTAACACCAATGAGGATCAGTAACACCAGTGACTCCTATGGAGAGAGAGAAAAGTGGACGCTGCTGTAGAATGACCCATATATATCAGTCCTTCATTAAATTAATTCAAGTGTTGCTGATGGAATTTAATAAATCCATGTGATGGCTGAAGTGCAGTGAGAAGTCTAGAACCAAACGTGTTCTTCTGCTCATCACAATGTCTCAGCTACTTTTTTTGGAAACAAGACATTGTTGTTGGTCTTTGTTATGTTTGTGTGTTATATTTATTCTGATGTTGTACAGTGGTTTAAATGGATTTCACACTGTATACACACTTAGTGCCACTCAGAATGTAAGAGTTCACTCCTAATTTGTTCACGCAAATTGAGCATCGCAGACTTTGCATTACACAAACCACAGAACACGCTCTGCACCAAAGATCGTATTGTTTTAATACAGAAATCCTGAGAAAGTTCCTGAAAATAGCCGCTAATGTTTTTACTCATGCAAATCCACAGATACTAATCATACCACACACACACACACACACAGGCACAGTTCATCTCCGTGGAAACCACAGAATCGACACTTTCCTGATCAGCTTTATCAGCGATATTTCTTTTCTCATCTACTTATTTGCAATTTGGGAAATAATCTGCATATCAGTCTGAGAAGACTCACCGCAGCCGCCCACACAGACAAAAGGAAGAGCAGCGTGACATTAGCGCAGCCAAATTACGCTTAGCATTTTAGCATTGTTTGTTTTTTCTGGAGGCAGAATTCGAGCGGGAAGAGCTTCACCCTTGTCTATACTCGGTCATCAGTGGCAGGTCTGACCATAGAGTTAGCTTTTTTTGGTTATATTGTTTGGTTTGTGCGTATTTTCTTTGGGGGGGTCATTGATTTCAGTGATTGAATGGTGATGGGAAAACAATACAGGCCACTAACATCAGTGGCTAATAGACTTATTCAGCTCTGTGGTGGTTTTCATGCTGTGTTTACATGCTGTCATTGCATCTCAGCAGAGCTGGTGCAGTCGGTATATGACCAACAGTGCAGTGCAGTGTGAGTGTTGCCATAGTGATAGATACTGGAGGAGCGGTGGCCGCAGTGTGGGCTGGTGGTGTTAGCCACTGTTTTATCCTAGTGTGTCTCATTGTTTCTAATCAGGGACGTGAGAAGGTGTTTTAAGTTGGGGGTGCTGAAATATTAAGTAGTGTATATGATACGAACGATTACTTTTTTTTGCCCAGTTTACAGAACGTATCATGCATAAACATTTAACTGACACATTAAAATGCTGACGTACATCATCATTCTGCTCTTCCATTGTACGAACTTGAAAACGAATGGACTGGCGACCAATCAGACTGTTTATATGTGGCGAGGTTACTGATTGTGCCGCGGTCACAGTCACACGGTGAGATTTAACACTGCGCTCTTAAGAAAATATGGTTCTTCAAGGGTTCTTTAGTATAGAAAATGCTTGTATATATGGCCATAAACACTCAAAGAACACTTTGTGTGATTGTGTGGTTCTGTGCATGGTAAAATGGTTCTTCAGACTGATGGAGAATGTGCTGTAGATGGTTCTATATAGAGTCAGGTTCTATATAGGTTCTATGTAGCACCAGAAAGAGTTCTTTTATTGTTACGATGTCAAGTCTGTAACAATAGTAGAGCCATAGTAGTAGAGAACCAGCACATTCTCCATCAATCTGAAGAACCATTTCCCCATGCAAAGAACAATTGAATCAAGTAAAGCGTTCTTTTAGAGCTTAGGGTTCTACATAGAACCATTTCTTTACTAAAGAAACTTTGGAGAACCACCACAGGAAGTATAGGGGGCGATATGGCTTCTACTGTTTCATTTAAAAAGCTCTATAATGTTCATATGATCCACATAGTCACTCTGACAGACTGTAATACACTACAGGAAGTGTAGGGGGCGATATGGCTTCTATTGTTTCATTTAAAAAGCTCTATAATGTTCATATGATCCACACAGTCACTCTGACAGACTGTAATACACTACAGGAAGTGTAGGGGGCGATGGAAGTTGTTAGTTGCAGCCCTGAAGTTCAGTATATGTATATACAGTGAAAGCTAACAACCAAGCGAAAGCTAACCTACCAAGCACTGAGATAGTTCTTTGGACTGTCTGCTGTCCGCTTGTTTGTCCATCCATTTCTTTGTCTGTTTGTTCAACTGGTCAGACCTGGGAGTGTCAGACCTCCAATGACCTCAATAGAATATTAGGCCACGCCCATACAATTCTCAGAGTCTCAGATAGGTCCGATAAGCGTTTGTTAAGCCGACTAATCTTGTTTTTAGCTGGAAGACTTATTTTCAATGTCAAATAAATATGTTTAATTTTGTACACAGGGCTCCTTGAGAAACGCTTCGGTAAATAGGACACTTTCTTGTTGGGCTTTGCCGCTTGGTCGTGAGCGTGTAATAATACAGATAACGTCACTGTAAATAGGACAGCGCTGCCCTATTTGCCTGTTCCACTTCTGTGACACAGTAATTCATCATCCTATATCACTGCGAGTCCAGAAGCATCTCTCTCCTCCCAGAAACCATTACTGAACTCGCACACTCACTCATACAAACAAAATAAATCATCATTTTTACCAGGTCGTCTCTTCCGCTGCCTCTAAAGCTGAGAGCTGACCAGTACTGCTCATGTCACATGACCTATAACATACAAAATATGCCTTTTTACAGGCTGCGTATACATAAAGTGCACTGAAAATGATTCAGTTTGCTGGACAAATGGGTAAAATTTGAATCATACATTGCTGATGCCCACAAAAAACACGTGTTACCACATGATGTGATAGGCTAGTCTAAACCACCCCTTACCAAAGGCCTAAAATAAAAACTTTGCTAACAAAAAATAATACTTGTTGCCGTACAATGTGGCAGATTTGTTACCATTTACCATTTATTATTAAGTGGCATTGAAGTGTTTCTTGGCGATTTGAGATGCGCTCGAGGTTTAAGCTTCTTCAGTTTCAAACCAGAGCTTTGCAGCACGAGCGGCAAACCTGAACTGCTCCCAAACAGCGTCATGAAGGAGAAGCAGAGCACTTTTACCAGCCCACGTTTATTTTTTCTCATAATTAATAACCTGCAAATGTCTTTATAAACCATCAGATTTCTAAACTGATACTTTATATCAGTGTAAACATTAGGCGTGTAACAAAACACAGAATTTAAAAACTTGATACGATACGATACGACAGCATCTGGACACGAAGCAGCGTTTCTGAAAATGTGCTTTGTGTTCATATGTTAAAGTTTTATTTTACCCACCAAGTCCATTTATCTTGTTTTGTAACATCACAGTCATAATTCATTTCTAAGTCACCATCTTTCAAATCTCTCTTTGGCACTATTTTTGTTACTGTGCCTTTAAGACTGATATATTTAAATAAGCTCTGTCCTGATTCGCTGTCCTGTGTTATGTATTCAAAACACAGTCCGGGCTGAAACACCCCTAATTTATTTCGTATTTTATTTTATTTGTTTATTTGACAGTACACGGACAGTACAGATAAAAATTGTTATATCCAATGCAAGACATGTATACAGGACATCTAGCTTAAGCTAATTTGCAGCACTAGTCCCTGGTTAGGCTTAAATAAAAAAAAAAACAAAGAAATGAATAATGCACATGTGGCGTAAATACATAAAATATATAAAACATGCATACTTATTTGTATGATTAACCTTTTTAACTCCTTGAGACCACCGGTGGTTCCAAAATGCACTTCAAGTCGACCCATTTTTCCACAAATCTGGGCTATAAACTATAAACAGATGGCGTCTCTTCAGTGATCTGCTCTGTAAACATTATTTTAATAAAATAATACAAAGAGCGTCTAAGATTTTTGGCTTTCAGCAGTAAATTGTAAGCATATAGCAATATGTGTGATCATAAAACACATGTTCTGTTAATTTGAGAGGAGCTTTTACAAAAAATAAATAAAATAAAAATGTACATTTATTTCATGCAGTTACTGAATGATTTCCCTTACAATTTATAAATTCAGATGGAAAAAACAAAATATACCCTGGAGAATAAGTAAAGTTTGCGATGAATACATCTT